AAAAATAAAACTTTGCCCAAAAACGGACATGGAGGGGGCTATAATTGGGGACAAAAAAAACTGTAAAGGGGGAAATGGGGGTGGGGCCCTGAAACGCCGGCAAAAACCCCACAAAAAATAACCCCAGTCCCCCCCCCCCCCCCCCGGGGAGTATTCACTGCAGCTGATCAACATTCCCAATTCATAAGAAGCGTGAGATTGTTAGGATCTGTTGGCATGGCAAGAGCGTTAGCGGAGCTCTGTCCACAAAAAAACATTACAAAACCGTCACGCTCCCGCCGAATCGAACATCAAGTGCGGACATCTTTAACACAGTTTTTCGGTTATTTATCTGTTCGCCACGCTTTATCTTTCTGCTCTATGAATGAGCTAAATGAATGACCTATTTATTGCTAACGATAAATTTCCCTGCAGTTCAGCAAGAGAGGTTGTTTGTCCATGAAAACGTGTTTCATGCAGAAAGGAACATGTCATGAAACGATCCTGACCCGATTTCAGACCACATACGGGTAGGTAAAGGACAACAGTAAATGTGGTAGTTTAATTTATATATGGACAGTAAGCTCTTTTGCCAGCATATAATTGAATTATCATTATTTTTAATTACTTTTAAAACGTTTCAGTGGAGGACGAGTGGAGAATAAACGTCTCTATATTTTGCAAGTTTTAAGTGTAATCATCTCGGATCTGGCTGATGGGACATTATTATCTTTATCATTATTATTATTATTATTCCTCGCAAAAGCGATCTATAATCTCGTCTAACACGAAGCGCGTTGACCGCGCGTGGTCTTAGTGGAGTGCGAACTTGGCTGGCCCATAGATCTACCGGGTTGCCTGAAATCTGAGGTCAGGTCCAGCACATTGCAGGCAATCTGTTAAAGCATAATTTGCATAAAGCCGGGATGCTTTAAGTGAAAAAATAAAAATCTCCCTCTTCAGGACTAACCACCCTCAGTCCTTGAGCATGGGCTCCAAATAACCTCCCGGAATTGACAGAAAACAGTGGAAATTTTAGAAATGCTCGGGCGACACAACATATTTTTTGAGGGGGCTTCCGTCAAGGTGGGTGTCAGCTTGTTGCACAGTCACAGGGCTATCAGCTGGTAGCCTGGTTAAATTCTAGGTGGGTGGGGATGTTCTAAAGAGCATGCTTTGTGCTGGACTGTGGATTCGCTGAAATTTCCACTGGGGCTTATCCCTGTCTTTCAAAGCTCAGTGTCTCCCTCAAACTGCGGGGTTCATCTTGTTGCACAGACCCAAGGCTTTCAGCTGGTATGCATTTGGGGTAGCCTCTTTTGCTTAATAAGCGCAGACTGGAGCTCCCAATTTTGCAAATTTCGCACATTCTATGTAATCAGAACGTTAATCCCAAATCGACACTGCTCAGTTCCTGAGAATACCGCAGAATCGTCGTATCATTAGTCTCGTTATTTAAAAAATGATACCCCTGGATATCTACAAGCTTTTTTTGCGATACAGAGATGTGACATGTATGATTTGCGAGGCTCTGGTTTTAAAGGGGCTGTGTCACGGTAGTCCAGTTCATTTTGTTTAATTTTGGCAATTACTCGCCCAAAATCGCTATGGAAATTAAAGGAAGTAAAGAAATTACATGTAAATGACAAAGTCCGAGATTCGAGAAAAACAAATATGTCTCCTGAGCATTATTTTTGAAGTTGCAAACAGCAGAGATAAACTTTGAAAAACTGTTAGGCGGAGCAGTTTTCAAAAACTGTAATTTTAATCCGTTTCAGTCGTCTTCAGTTTTGCCCACCCTTTGCATCTGTTATATCTGTTGTGTTATTTTAACCTTGCTTTAATGTTTTAAGCGGTTATTTTCATGTTTCTCTTGGATTTAACGGGCATTTTGTGATTGACTAACTTGGCGGAATTTCGTGACACAGCTCCTTTAAGGTGCAACATCAAAACATCCCAAAATCATAGCTGAAGCATTCTTTCAATCAATACATGTAATAAGTCGCATTACATCTGGAACAAATTGCTTCAGAAGTGCATCAGTCTGAGGATCTCGGTCTCGCGACTTTTACTGAAATATTGACCAAAACTGAAACTTCCTCGATAACTATCGTAAATAACCTTAATGCTCCTTATAAATTATAAAAATGTCAATAATTTTTAATTATTACTTGTACTTTATATATTTTCCGGAATAATTATTATTTACTTTTAAAAAGTGATACATTGTGTAAAACTGAGACCTTAAAATATGTAAACTTTTATTCTTTATTAAGGTCTTTCGAGGTACGAGAACGCAACCCCTAATTTGTTTTGGGTGTTCTGTGCATTATTGGGAGTCCTGTGGGAATAATTTGAGATTCAGTATTTTCGTCTTCGTCGACACACATTTGCCTCGCTTTGAGGCACTTGCTTACGTTTTGCCTCACTTTGACGCCCTAACTCATGTGGTGATTCTTGTGTCCTCGGCGTTCATCTTTCAAAGGTTTGCTGAGGTCTGATATTCTGTCTTCGTAAAGCGTTCATCTTTTAAAAAGTTTGCTGAATCTTCGTAAAGCGTACATCGATCTGTGTTTGCTGAATTGTCCAAAGCGTCAGTTTCTCACCTTAGCTGGTGGTAGTCAAAAGTTTAAAAACCCGTAGAAGGGTCTATTCAGTGTTGATAAAGCCAAATTTTTCATTACACTCAGGGAGCATATATAAGTTAAACATAAATCCCATCAAGAGGAAACACCTTGGAAAGCAAGAAAGATTTATTTTGTTAAACATGGGTTTACATTGTGAGGCAAAGCAACTTTTCTGAATTTAAGATTAACCTGGAAAACTAAAATGTATAAATTAAATCTGTCCTTTCGAATGATTGCTCGAGCCAAATACAAGGCATTTTGGACACAAAATTAGCAAGGAGGATCATATTCGCCGCTTAAGACGGAGTATTTCCCGGGGTTTACTTCTTGGATAGCCAACTTGGCGACCTCCCCAGAAAGCACTGTTTTTTTCGACTCTAAAAACGTGTTTCTCGGGCGGGGAGGAGGCCACCTTCACCATCTCGTCTATGCCAGAAATGTACCGTCCAACAGCAACCATGAAAATGTCTACAACAATGCCTTTTAGGGCGTCAGCTTTAGGTATACTTAGGTGGCGAAACTCGTTCGACTGACCATCGGTGAAAAGTAAAACCATCTTCTTTGAATTAAAGCGGCGTCCTTTGTAGGTGAAGAAAAAATATTTTCAATTGTTTAGTGAATATCATAGTTCCTATGACAAACTTCTAAATAACATCAATCGGCCTAACCTGCACAATCGTAGAACACATGATATGTTAACTCTTGTATATAAGTCTTTTCACGAGCTACTGAAAGAAAGAAACTCTTCTTACAATTTACGTGGTAAACACTCTCTTAGTATTCCCAGAGTTCAATCGACCAAATATGGTTTGCACTCCTTTCGTTACTCTGCCAGCAAATATTGGAATATGCTCCCAGAGGTACTTAGCACTGCTGAATCATTACATGTTTTCAAATCAAAAATTAAGAGCATTTATTTAGCTTTGCTAATAAATGCTGCTCTTTTTGTACTTAGTTTTAATTATCACTACGTAGTTACTGTGGCCACAATGTAGTATTCCCAGAGTTCAATCGACCAAATATGGTTTGCACTCCTTTCGCTACTCTGCCAGCAAATATTGGAATATGCTCCCAGAGGTACTTAGAACTGCTGAATCATTACATGTTTTCAAATAAAAAATTAAGAGCATTAGCTTTGCTAATAAATGCTGCTCTTTTGTACTTAGTTTTAATTATCACTACGTAGTTACTGTGGTCACAATGTATATAATAATTTTCTTGTTTCCACATTATCTTAAACTTGTACATAATATATAGTATTACTTTATTCTAATTACCTTTGTCATTTGTTTACTATTTGTTTTTGCTTTTCCTTCGGGGATATTAGCATTAGTTGATGTTATCTTTTGAAATTCGAAGTGAAATAAAGTTTTTGATTTGATTTGATTTGATAGTACCGACAACATTTGAAAACAACTGTTCCTGAAGGAATATTTGAAAGTTTTGTTACCCCTCCCCTTCTCTTTTACTTTTTTCTTACCTCTTATACTTTGCACCTCACCACACTGATCTCACTATTCCTTCCTTCCAATTTTCAACCCCCCAGTATCAAAATAAAAAAAAGGTGACTGCGAGGAGGAAACTTCAAGCGCTCGACCGCAAGAAAAGCTACAAACCTTGATAGCTTTCAAAACCCTTGGCGTCTCTTACTTCACTCCACAGACCATTCACTCAAAATTAATGTTAATATAGCCTTTTCGGTGCAATTTTTGCTTGAATTAGGCTACATTTATCTTATGTATACCACGGGGGGAGTTTGAGGGGTAATCTTTCTTTTTATGTTGAGCTGAAACGATTTTTAAAAAAAATTCTGAAGGACGGTGCCATTTGTTTTTTTATTGAAAAATAAATCATAACATTTTTTGATAAACTATTACACACGTGAAGACACATATAAGTTCAAATTGTTTACAAGTTAGTACTAAAAAAAGGAAACAAAATTAGTCAATGCTCTTTTAACCTTCAACATCATCTTCTGCAAACTTTACCGTAACTGGCTCCCATTAATAATATTTATAGATTGTTTTCATTCTGATGACATCAAACGGTATATTTTTGTCGACATTATCATCACCATCATTATAATCAAAACCAAACCATTTTTCTAACTTTTCAAAACCTAAATCTCGCATTCAGCATTTTACATACATGATATGATTTCATTTTTTATTTTCTTTGGTTTTTGATCAGCCATAATTATCTTCAATTTTTTTCAGTGATAAAGTGTTGTAGATGATATTTTGGCTTAACTTATTATATACAATGAATTTACTTCATCTCCTCTTCATGACCTTTTCTCAGAAGCATGCCAACTAGTAAGACCTTTATGTTAGTGCTAAACCTATTAGGCCATTCAGTACCCTTGAACACCTGTTAGTGTTAAGCTTTGTATATGACTTTTTCTTAGGACTTCTTTTGTTTGTGTTCATTTCATTTTGGCTTGTTCCTGTGTTTATCTCTATCTCCCATAAAACATTCACGAGGGACCTTGAAAGGACATCGCGTCACTTCATCAATCTAAACTTCCTCTGGTCCGCTGTCAGCAATTTCCCTAGTGAGCCATTAGCTTTTCTTTATACCACTCCCTTCAATATTCCAGAAATACTAAAATCTATGATTTTCTTGTAACCTTTTTTTAGTCCTTTTGCCTTAAAAGTATGTTAGCATTACTGGCGGTTGTATTGCATGCCTATATTCTACTTTCCTTTGGGGGGAGGGGGAGAGGGGGGCAAGGTTTTATAATTTGTACTTTTGGTCAAAAGGGGAGGTGTCAAATTTTTTATGTATATATTTTGTGAAGGGGAGTATGAATGAAAAATGCTTCCTTAAAATTATCCTATGCTCCCTTTCAGTATGCATAATGAATGAAAAAACCTTTATCGGTAATAAAATAGCGTGGGGGAGCCTCTGTTACTCGCTAAATACATCAGCATCCAACTGGAGTTTTACGCATCTGCACGGTTTTATCTAGGATTTATCGTTTGGGGGAGAAGTCCCGAGTGGCCGAGGGCCACGAATGTCCTAGGGGGGTCCGGGGGCATGCTCCCCCGGAAATTGTTTGAAATGTATATGCGCTGAGATGCAATCTGCTGCATTTTGAGGCCCAATTTTGAGAAATGTTACAGTGGTATTTTATTTTATTTTTTAGTCGTGATCACGTTCTGACAATGTTACACTTAGCTCCGATATTTTTTGGGGGGAAGCTGGGCATTTTGGGGGGGGAAGCTTCTACCCCTCAAATACCCTAAATAGAACCCTGATCTCTGTAAGGGTCACAACACGGGACGAAAAATTGGATTTACGACACTTTTGACACGCGTCAAAAGTTAAATCAAATATGGTATTGGCTTTGACGTCACCTTTGACGCGCGTCAAAGATGTCGCCAAATATATAACCTCTGTGCTTACTCCTTTGACCTCGGTAAAGGTGAAGTCAAATTGGTAACAACTTTGACTTCTCCTTTGACGTGCGTCAAAGATCAAGTCAAATGCATCAATGCTTTGCTATTCCTTTAACCCTTATCAAAGGCGTTGTCAAATATGCTGGTAACTTTGACTTTACCTTTGACGCACGTCAAAGATAAAGTCAAAAGAGTAGTGGCTGTGACCACACCTTTGATACTAGTCAAAAATGAAGTCAAATACGACCGCTACACTTTTACAACACTTTTGAATGGTGTCAAGGGTGAGAGCAAATATGCAATGAATTACTTCTACAAACACTTATGTCGAAACTGATTTTAAGAAAGGAAATTAAAAAGCTGTATTTGAATACTGTTTTAAAGATATTTATACGACAATACCGAACACAGGCTGGTAATCATTGTAATTGGTGTTTATAATTATTTTTGAAAATGTTCTGGAATATGTACTTTTTCGAGGTGAATTAAGTGAGTTTTGTTTTTGTCTTATCTTGAGTGGATCATTTTCCCCTTGATCGATTAATATACGATGAATAAATGATAGCGACGCAAAACAATGACTCAACAACTGGACGATGGAAGACTGAACCCAAGCAAGACACCCTGTTTTTGGCGCGAAATTGTCGCGGCTGCAAACTCTCTCCGCCCGCGCAAACAAACAAACTACGCAGATCTGAAGAAAACAAAAGCTGCTTTTTTGTACGAAGCAGTCCAGCTTTTTTTTAACAAATATTTTCGCCCTTATCTCTGATAGAGTTTAGACTACAAACTTGTTCAAAAGGTACGTGTCATTCTTTTCTATGTGTGCATGCAATAGTTCTTCTTCAAACTTCATAGTTGTTTTACTATGTTAAGCTTACAGAAACCAACTCCGAACAGGCGTGTATATCGTGCTTGGGAGCTTTTCTGATCGTTAAATCTGGTTCAGTAAACTATAAAAATCTTTCTGTATCACAGTAGAGTTTACATTAGATCAAGCCCTTTTTCTTAATAGGGTTAATGCATTTCTGTAAAAGTAATGCCTGGCTTATATTTCACAATGCAATTCAACTCAAAACTTCATGCGAGAACCTACTAACATCAAGATTAACCAACTCTGGTTTTTCTAACAGTTTATATTTATCTGCGAGAACTACTCAGGTAATGAAATAATATAAGACTTACATATATCTTTTTTCATTGACAGTGTACTTCAATAAAAATGTCTGTACCAGACTTTGATGGGCATATTACTGAAGCAAGTACATAAGCTTATTTGAACAGGATTCAGTGCAGTTTATCAAACAAAGAGGTGTGATTATTTGAAGACTTCGGATGTTTTGCGAACGTGAGTATCTCTTTCTATTGATTTTTCTGGGTTCTATACGTAATGGGGCTCATACTGCATAATTAATTTTTAAAATATTCCATTGATTTTTTTACCACTACAGTGGCAGCTGGGTATGTTTCAACATTTAATAACAATCATTCAAACATACCGAGCTGTCCCTTCATTATTGTTACTGAACAATAACTTTGGGGGTTAAAAAGGTAGAAAAATAGCCGCGTAGCAAGCTTTTCCGCGCGAGTTTTGTGCAAGAGGGCAAAAAAAGAGGAAGGAGGGGCCGGGAGGGGCTAACTCGCGCAATAACTCGATTGGAAACGCTTGTTATGCAGGCTAGGTATAATATAAAGTGTTTCTTTAGTTTAATTTTAAGCTTTGGGCATAGAGGGAAATTTTGATTGAATTTTCCTGGACTTTATTATGTGATAATAAGGCTCGATTCAAACGTCAAATTTCACAGGTGACGAACTTAATGACAATACATGTACACGAAATGTAATGTTTCCATTCAAAAGCATTAGGTTCGCTACACATTTTTAACAGGGTCTTTAAGTTTTGATAAAGGTAAAGAGAAAGGGGGATTTTCTGAAGAAAAGGAGCGATAGTAAAAAGGGAGTGGGGCCAAAAAATTTATTTAAAACACTATGACTGAGCTTTTTATCTCAAATTTCTATATTTTTTTACAATTATTTCACAGATAAAAGAAGCAAGGCAAAGTGATAAGTCTCCAGTGGGAAAAAAAAGCACACAACAGAGGAAGATTGAAGTTAGATACATGGCGTTTGTCTTTCACTTACATCAAGAGTCAAAAGCACTCTAGAATGAAAATCTTCGCAAAGATAACATCAAGACAGATAGGCTCCTGATCAAGAACATTTCTTACTTACCATGATTTTAGCACTGGCTTTCGTGAAAGAGTGTTTTAAACTATTTTGCAGGTTGCCGTCCGTGACAACAGCGTGAATCTGGAACATTTATAGTGCTTCAAAAATTTGCGGCAGTCATTATGATTGTCCATTGACAAACTGCATTGAGTACTTTAGACAATAAATCGTGAAAATGTTTTAAAAAACCATTTTTATGCGTTTAAAAAAGTTTTAATCGGAATTATTCAGCTTTCTAATCATCTAGTGAGGTTTTAGGACAATAAAGTACAAGATTAAGAACTCAATCTCTTATCTGTCCACCTTTTTAAACGGTATCCAGTTCGCAATTGAATTTGACTGAAAATCTCAAGTTGGATTCTAGCCTGTATATCAAGCGCTTATGACTAGCGAGGCAATAACGCGGCATTCGCGCGAAACGCGAGGAGAACGAGGAATTCACGCGAAGCGCGAGACGAGCGAGAGGCGCGATGCGAGGGGAGGAAAAAAAACAAACATATTTGGCAACACCTTTGTTAAACCTTTGACTTAAATCTCACACGCATTTGACGACAACTTTGTCACACATTTGACCTGAGGCTCAGACACTTTTGACGACACTTTTCACAAGCCTTTGACTTTAATCACAGACATAACTTTGCCGCGCTTTTGTCACACCTTTGGCCTGAATCTCAGACATATTTGACGACGCCTTTGATAGGGGTACAAATGCTAATGAAATATACCTTTGACGTGCGTCAAAGGTAGGGGTTAAAGGCGTGACAAAAACGGCCTTTATCGCCTGAAGACGCGCCTTTGACCGCGGGCAAATGTAAACATTTGTCGCGCGTCAAAGTTGTACAAAGGTGTGCAAAGGTGGCCTTTATCGCGCGTTTGACTTCACCTTTGACGTTCGGTAAATCCGTTTTTTCGTCCCGTGCAAGGAACCTGTTTATATCTCAACTGTTTTCAAAAGGGGATATCTAAAAGTAATCAAAGCACTATTAAGAATCTTAATGAACAGCACCACTTTACTTGTTCAGGTCACTACAACGGTTACGTCATAAGGACGATTTGCATTGGGCTGCATTTTAGCGGTGCTCCCGCGCGCGCGAAGCGCGCGTGGGACAGAGCCCCATACTCATGGAATACGGCCAACCTCTTTTCGTTTGGTTGTCACGTGATTGACCAAGCGTACGTACGTACGTACGCGTCGACAGATTGTACAGGAGGGGTAGGGGAGGCTATCAAAAGGAAGGGAGGGGTGTCTCAGGGGTTTCTTGGCAAGTCCACATCTTTTATGGAATAGGACATTCACAATATAGTCAATTGACAGCTGTCAAAACAGGATATCCACTGACCAGTATCCCGTGACCATATCGCGGACTCATGTGTCAACTCATCGAGGTGACGTGACTTATTTGGAAGTTGTCTGCTGACCAATCTGCTGATTGTTTTACTAGATCGCGAACAATGTTCAATCTCATACTTTCTAGCGGCCTTTCTAGCTAGTTTGGGAGCACAGGAAAACTAATAATGCACACATATTGGACATCAATGTTTTGATCAATTGACAGCTGCCAAAACAGGGTACCCGCTGACCAGCATTACTTAACCGTATCGCGGGCTCAGGTGTCGACCCATCGAAGTCAAGTATTTTTTGAAGTTATCCGCTGACAAGTTACTAGTTTTCTATGATCGCGGGCTCAAGTTTAACTGACCTTGGACGCGAAAATTCAGCCAGCTGTTACCGGCAGGGAAGACAGTTGCTTTTGACTTTTCTCACCCTGGTCACGCGTCAGCTGAAGCTGACAGAGTTTTGTGTCAACTTGTGATGCTTTTAACTGTCTTTTTCCACTGGATGTACAAAATGAAATTCAGCTGCTATCTGGAGTCTTCTGTTTTGGCTAGCTTGTTTATTGGGTTTTTGGTTGAAAAATACGTCGCTTGTTAAAGTCGGAAACCCGGTTGCTGAAGGCATCGTTTTCGTTTTCACCTTCCTTGATGCGTAAGAGGGTTGCAAAGTCTGAAGCGATACTGGCCTTAATTGATACCTTTCAGGAGCTGCATCTCGAATGGTAAGCCAGAGTAATTATTGTATTTGATGTCTGTATTTTTGCATCTAATTTCATGAAGTCGAGCGTAGTTTATGCGGGTATTTAGTTTGTGCACGTTTGTAAGATTTGAGACAATGATCTGACCGAGTATCAGTTTGATATAAGCTTACAGAACTCTTTAAAAAGCTTATAGACAGTTTCTCACCGCAAATAGAAAGAAAACGTTCCAAAGAATATTTAGTTATAATTCTGGCTGTAAAAGAAAGCTTTGAGCGATTTTCTTGCCTTGAGTTCGTCTTTGAAAAATGCACATACCGGGAAGCTGGCTTAAAACATAAACTTCAGCTTTAGGCTTCAAGACTCAGAATTTTTTAGACACTTTAATACTTGTCTTCCTGAATGAAATTTGAAGTCTCTTTATATGTTACACCGGATTATATTTCCTTTAATGGTTGTTAGTAGTCTCTCTTGTAATTTTAACCGCTGTGCCGATTGTTTTCAGTCGTTCAGTGAACATGGCTTTTGCAGGAGTACTCAAAATGCCGAGCGTTAAGCCATTTTAAAATAAAAAATAAACATAATAAATTCTTTATTATGTTGGAGCGTAACTCTGTTAATGTTCATTCAAACTCTCGCCACAGCTTGCACTACAAAAATGAGAACCGGATGGCCGTCTAGGTGATTTTGGAAATTTTTTTAACGGTTTAGCTAAAAGCCCACGCGTACTTCCATCGTCCTTAATGTGGAATGAGTGCAACTTGTAATGCAAAATTGTGAAAGACTGCTTTCTGCCCAAGGTCTGTATGATAAAAACAGTGCCTCATAGTACTGTTTCACCTCAGATGTGATGTATAAATGGTATAAAAGGTTGGTTTACACGCACCTAGATTTGTTGGCGAGATTTTGCAAAGTAAACTTGTCGAACGCGAAAAATTGGGCCTAAGTTTTTTTCCAGGCCTAATTAATCTACGGTGATCAAGAGCCATTATGGCTCTTAAATGTGATCGAAGATGATTACCAGTTTTTGGGTGTACATATGAGGCTATCAACTCGATGTNAAACTCTCGCCACAGCTTGCACTACAAAAATGAGAACCGGATGGCCGTCTAGGTGATTTTGGAAATTTTTTTAACGGTTTAGCTAAAAGCCCACGCGTACTTCCATCGTCCTTAATGTGGAATGAGTGCAACTTGTAATGCAAAATTGTGAAAGACTGCTTTCTGCCCAAGGTCTGTATGATAAAAACAGTGCCTCATAGTACTGTTTCACCTCAGATGTGATGTATAAATGGTATAAAAGGTTGGTTTACACGCACCTAGATTTGTTGGCGAGATTTTGCAAAGTAAACTTGTCGAACGCGAAAAATTGGGCCTAAGTTTTTTTCCAGGCCTAATTAATCTACGGTGATCAAGAGCCATTATGGCTCTTAAATGTGATCGAAGATGATTACCAGTTTTTGGGTGTACATATGAGGCTATCAACTCGATGTAAGATTTGGTTCACTCTTGGGCTGTTTGCAAATTATTTTTCTCTCAAATCACTTAGCCGTCCCTCATAAATGTGCTCTAAAGCTAACTGAATTGTGGGATACAAGTTTATTATTTGATTTAAATTATAAATTTATTAATGGGAGCCTCGCTTTTAGCCCTGGCTAAATCTATATATTATTTTTATTTTATTCCTACTAATAATACAATTCTGAGATACTGACCTGATAAGGGTTCCTCGAACAGTTGTTTTGCCTCTGCAAGTCCTGCCTGAGTGTTGGTACTCATACCTGAATAAGAAATCTGTAACATGTTATTCGCCGCCGTAGAGTATGGCAAAAACTTGAAATTCACTCTAGCAGAAGAGGAAAAAGTAACTGCAGCGTAATTGGTATAAGCAGTCGGGTCATCCTCTGCCATCTTCATCATGTGTTTAAGAGCTTTCTTTCCTTTTCCAAATTCACACCTACTAACCGACCCGGAACCATCCAGAACAACCACAATATCTTCAATGCGAGTTGATCTTTTGCGGCGTCTAAGTGAATTTTTCGCACGAATGCTCAAAAAGTTTGTCAGAAGCTTAGTTGCAGTGTCCCGTACTGGAGGAGCCGCTTGAAACTTCGCAGATGAAATTTCAAAAAAAATAATATATTTTTTATCGCTCGCCATTTGTCCGAAAAACTTTTCCCTAAACTGAGTATAAAAACTTTCAATGTAAGTTCAAAAGAACCAAATGGAATACAGTCTCTAAGTTCAATAATTAACTTTCAAATAAAAGTTTATCTCAGTAGATTGTCGAATGTATTCACAGGGTGTGAAAATTGCTGAAGACAATAAAGGTTTCCGTTTTGAGTACCGTCAACGGCCGCTTATAAGCTCCCCAGTTATAGGCCCATCTCCCTGTAAACCATAAGCTTTAAGTTTTGCAAGTGTAAGTGGATGGTAAAGTGAATCGAAGGCTTTTCTCATCAGATGCAGATAATATAAGGAAGGAAAACAAAACTAACTGTTTCCCTCGGGACCTGACATTAAGTGTATACAACTCTTCCAAACTATAAACAGTTACTGAGGAAAAGAGCTTTTGTCTGAAAATACATTTTAAAAATCCTCGAAAGATCCTTAGACCTCATCTTGTTGGGCCTACGAGTTAACCTCACAGGCCTTTTTATCCTATGATCTTTAGGTATGAATTGTTCTGGCTCCCTTTGCTAGCTCAACACCCCTCAATGGACCTTGCAGCACCTCTAGACATTACTTGGGTATGGCATGTACACATGCTTTCACCTCTCCAGTTACGACAGGGACTGCAATGAAATAGTCTCTGTTTTAGTCGACCACAGAATTCTTGTAAGAAAAGCTTGACAAAAGGGACTAAATAAGCCTTGGCATTATGGAATCAAGAATACCCCAAAGAGCCATTTGAGGTAGATTTGAATGCCCCTGTCACATGTGTGCAGGATTTCAAGTCAACAATCCAATATGACATCAAGAGCGCTTGCCAAAGACAAAGAGTGTTTTTATCAGGTTTCCCCGTCACATTACGGGGATGAGACGTTCTTGCGTGAAGCACTTAAGAGATATAAGAACCATCTGCTCTTCAAGCAAAAGACTCAAAATGCCTTTCTTGTACCATGCTATATGACTTTGACCTTATCTGGCATGCCCATCAAGTGAATCCGCTGGTCTACAGACATGAAAACCTTCAAACTGCTTGGGAGGGTCTTGATCCACAACGACTCAGTAAATGACCGTCAACCCGACTCAAAGGTTTTTACATCAGAGCCGGCTCTACGCGAGATATTTGGAAAGGTGCTGATATATTCTTCGAGGTAAATGGCGCCATGTTTCGTGTAGAGCCACCCATTAGGAATGGTATAAATCTAGACTCTGCTGAGAAATCCTAAATGGTGTCACTTCTTTACACTATGGACTTACTTCGTGTTGGAGTTGAAGGCCTTCTAAACCCTAAATTATACACAGTCAAAATCGATGTTATTCACGGTAAACGAGTCATTAAGAAGAAAGCAAAAGGACCCATTGCTAGAATTCATGGTTCCAAAGCAGTTGCTAAGTTCACTTTTTGCACAAAGGAAAACACAGCACTCGAGGTAAGATTTTTTTTCAGAGAGAGCAGGCCGTACTTTGGGGAAGGTTACTAGCGAATATTTTACTAGCAATTATTGATTGACGCTAAGTAGGATATGAAGAATTCTGCAGATCGAGGAGGGAGCTATCCACCGAGGCCGAAGGCCGCGGTGGATAACACCCTTCGAGATCTGCAGAATTCTTTATATCTTACGAAAGCCGAATTCAACAATTGTTTTATTATTCCTTCAAAATAATTCCAATTTTAAAAACAAGCTAAAGCACGCTAGCCTCGGTCGATGTAAATTCATATCGATAATACATCTTTATCGGCAAGTTTAGAAGATTAATGAATAATAATTAATTTTATATAATGGCCTTTGACGAAAGGAATATGAGTTTTCGTAGCCTGCGTAGCAAGCGTTTCCTCGCGAGGTTCGTCTAGAAAGCTGGGACAAGAGCAAAAAAAAAAATGAATTGCGGGGGAGGGGGAGGGGAACGAAGGAACCGCTTGCCCGCAAACCCCACGATTTTGAAAAACTGCGTTCGCCCACGAACGCAGCTTCTGATTGGCGCGGTGCGGGTAGTGTTGATTACTTAATTAGCATTCAAACCATCAATCAAACCAGGTATGCTTTGTTTTCGTGCGTCACAGATCTGGTCTCATCCGATTTGTGGTCGCAGATTACAAATGCTTTGGACTGATATTTATTGGAATCGTGTTTGTGCGAAGGTTTATGAGATCAGAGTCTTCAAAGTATAATTGGAGATCGAGCAGTGGAGTCTAGGGAAGGCGGATCGGAAAAAATGGACTGTTTGTTGGAGATAACATCAACATAAAACAGAACATCGGTACTCGACAGGAGCTAAAGCCGCCATGGACAAGCGATTTGTCAGCTTTTTGAAATGAAAAGATTCTTTTTGTTTATTGGAAATTTAGCGGCATCTATTTTAGAGAACGTTTCGACACAGGCTGAAGAGCAGCCGCTCTGCAAAACTTATACCCGGCGGAGTGAATTGTTCCGGACAAATCATTTTTGACGTGTCTACAAGGTTTCAGACGAGATAAAGCCACACAATAAAAAAAACACGAAATTCCACAGCAATCGCTCATAGTTTTAACTTTCTTATATCGTAAATCTTTTTTATTACAGTTCTTGTAATCGCCTGCAACGTGTTCTATTAGAGAACAAAGTAATTTTACAAATCTGGTAATCCAGGGGTAATCTGTTAGTTATGTTTCTATTTTGACGAGCTGTCAATTTACAAATATCAAAGGGCGTTTTCCAGAATCGTGGGGTTTGCGGGCAAGCGTTTCCTCTTCTCCCCTCCCCCTCCCCCTTCAACCTTTTTTTTGCTTCCGCTCTAACTTTCGCGCAATAACTCGATTGGAAACGCTTGCTACGCAGGCTAGAGTTTTCGTAAACCAGGTTCTAACGTGGTATGATTAATCTCTCCTAGAACTTAGCTTTCCACTAGGTTGAAATAATGGGAACTCACACAACAGAGTTGTTAGCTAAGTATCTTTCCAGAGTGAACTGAAAAATCTCACTAAAGTTTCTACCCCTGAGTCATGACGATGACGATGATGATAATTGTTTATTTTTGTAAAAGCAATGCTATCTTATATATGCTAAACTCAGTATCATTGCAAACCTGCTTTATTCCTTATGAAAATAGGCCGCTGATTCACCGGAAACTGCCGTTAAGGCTTGTAATTTTTTGACTTTCGTTCTGTTCCATTCCAGTTGCCAGTTGTTCCAGTCGCATATAAGTGTTTTAAACATATTTTGCGCCTCCGTTTATTGTCACGCACAATAATTGTAATAAATCTAACTCTAAATGTAATGATATGTTTGCTTTAACTCGTTTCTGGATACGATTTATCTCATCGTTCAGAAACATTTTCTTGCAATCCGCTTATATGCTCCCTACCTGACGTTTTCAGTAGCTGTTCGTTTATCCCTCGCGCACATTTTGAAACAAGTTCAGTGATGGTCAGTTTCTATGGTTACGAGATATGACGTCATCAGTAGCAGGTTGTCAACAAGCCATTTTTTGGTGGTGATCTATTATTCATGTCAAGCACAAAAAATTACCGTTTCTCGCGGTTTTAATCTCATTTCTAAATTGGTAAAATCCAAGATGGCGGCCAAGATGGCAACCATTGTTGGTGACGTCACAGGTCTCCAGCAGCGCCACCACCCATAAATTATACCTGATCTTGTTAAGAAGATCAAAGGCTTTCCACTAAAAGCAAAATCGTTTCGAAATTCTGCAACATATCAAAAACTCTGGGGAGGGGTTTCGTCCATAAGCTACAATAACCTGCGTCGTCCAAACCTGATCGATACTATACGCAATACGTATGCCGGGGGTGGCTTGTGCTGAAAAAATCCGGTTTATTTTAAGTGATGGTGAAAATTTTCGTATAGAAACATCAAACTCCTAAACACCGATGTTTTTTGCTGTTTTACCTCAAGAGAGCTTGCTTTTTTTTTGCGATTTTTCTCCTGTTTCTAGAGTGAGAGAAGGTCTTCCTTATCAAAAGATATATAATAACAACTAAACCCGGAAACGCGCAAGAAATCTCTTGTACCCTGTAGCTGGGTGTTAACGTTTGAGCTTTCAATTGGTTCTCCCTGGTTTCTATTTTTAATCTTAAGCTAGACGCCGGTTGCCTTATACTATCTAGTATGCTTGAGCTTCATCTCCACAAGAAATGAAAAATGGGTTTGCATCAAAACAAAGGCACTTCCGGCCTCACCTTCATTGCATGCAAGGGAAAGGTCAAAGCGTAATACTACCGTAAAATATTCAATTAACGCGGTGCCGCTCTTGTTCGCTTAATTTCATCGTTTTCTCCCCATTAGCTCTTTCTGACATTTTATGGTCTTCACCCGATACCTTTAATAAACAGTAAAAATAATAAGGGATATATATGTATTACAGAAATCGTCGGAACTGTAGCTTGGTCATTGGGATTTTTGGAGATATATTGGAGAAACTCCGGAGGAAGCCAAGTGATTCTTCGGGGATTTCGCACCTTAGGTCTTTTGTGGCTTAAATCTACAATTCTAATAATTGCACGCGCGCCAAGTACCCTCTGACGATAGGTTTTGCCCTTCCAAGCGCAAATCGGGGAAAACAAGCGTTGAGGGAATTCGATCGACTTCGGCGTATAAATAACAAGGGGGAAAACTAACTCTGCAACTCGCTTAGCTAGCGCGACTGGAACTCGTCACTGTTCCATGGTACTACGGATCTGCTTCAACTAAAAACCGGACAGCACTCAAACGTGGACTTTAACAGTTTAATCTTCAGCTCATAAACGTAAATCATTAATAAAATCATACAAGCATGTAAATTAAAAACAGGGATAACAGTACTCTTTTTATACTAACCGATCAACTTATTACAACATCACAAAACAAATGGAAAGAACGCTGAATAAAATCAGCCGAAAAATGAAAACAAACCTGGATAAATTCAGTTATGAAAGTTCATATGCTAAACTGAACGACTCTCAATTTAATGTCAGTCAAGCAAATGAGTCGGAAACTTACAAAGATTCAGCACTTCCGCCTCTTTTCAACGGCCACTTCAAGTTCTTCTGTCCCTACGGTGGCCGTTGTAGAGAGGTTCAACTGTGCCGGATTATTCAGAAAAAAAATTATTCTTTTGAAAGTGTACATTGCAGTAAAATGTGAATGATTAAAAGAACTAAAGCACCCCAATCCAAATTCAGTGTAAATTTCGGCGAAAACAACTTCAAAGAGAATATTTAAAAGCTACGGATATGAATTCGACGCAAATAAAGAATTCATGAGAAATTTCTCCTTACAACACTAAGACATTTTCGACACTAAAACAATTAGCAAGGAGGATCATATTGGCCGCTTACGACGCTGTATTCTCTGGGGTTGAGCATTTGAATAACCAATTTGACGACCTGCCAGAAACCTTCGAGTTTTGTGACTCGGAACATGTGATTCTCCGGCGGAGAGGAGGCAACCTTCACCATCTCGTCAATGCCATAAATGTAGCTTCCAACAGCAACAACGTAAATGTCTACGCCATTGCCTTTTAGGGCTTGAGCTTCCCTTATAGTTCGGTCGCGAGAGTCCGATTGGCCATCGGTGACAAGAAAGACCATCCTTCTTGAAAAAACACGGCGTCCTTCGGAGGTGAAGAAAAACTATTTGTTTATAAGTAGCAACAACATTTGGAAGCAACTGGAAATAACAGAACATTGAATTCGTGCACGAGTATTTTCCCCCTCCCCTTCTCCTTTACTTTTTTTATGCCTCCCACCCCACCCCACCCCACCACACCACATTGATCTGACTATCCTTTCCTTTAGAAATTCAGTCAGTCCTTTCAAAATCAAAGATGGTAAATGCAAGGAGGAAACCGAGCGCTCGACCGCCAGAAAGCTACACAGAAAACTATAGCCGGCTTTCAATACTCTAGGCTATTCACTCAAAATTTATGGTGATATAGCTTGTTCGATATAATTTTTATTTTAATGAGCCTACATTTGTTTAGTATACCACGTGGGGAGATGATCTTTACAGTCCGGGAGATATCCATTTCTGAAAATATGATAACGTCACTGATAATTGCATCTCGGACCTTGAAAGAAAAATCAGTATTCGCGACGCTTTTGCGCCGCTATTATTTTGGTTCCTTTCATTTAACCAATAAGACCACGCGTTATTTGTAAAGGAACATCAGAGGAACATGTGAGACAAAGAAAGATGGCGTGCTTCTCTGCAACGCAGAGGAAGATCTGCATAAAGTGAATTCACGGTTGTGTTTTCGATGCATTCTGAGTGGAGTGGTCTTTGAATTCTTACAAATTTCAGGTATGTAATAATTTTTTGGGTTTTGAAAAATTGACTCCGTGCTGTTTATTCAGACAGAATCCATATGCACGATACTTTCACATGCATGGCCTTTAAAAATCTGTGAAGTGTGTAATTTCGGAGCCATTATGAACGTTTCGTGGATCGTATTCTAAACTGATCCTTGGTTTCGTTTAAAGGGACGCGATCATGGTTATGCGCATGCGCGCCGTTTGTCTCTTCAGAATATTTTTGTTGGGTCAACACTAAATTCGAAATCGTCATTACTGGTACAATCATTGAAAATCCTTCGTTTTATTCCGACATCCGTCGCTTTGGCTGGCCTAGTTATACTTTGGTAGTGGTGATTAACGTGCGGTTGTGTTGTTTGAGCGGTTACGTTTTAAGAAGACGCAAAAAATAATGTTTTGATCATGGAGGTTCAGAAGAGCATCGCGGCCGTCCGGCAACAGGACGTTCTCAAGAGTCTTTGGAGATAGAGAAGCTTAGCCGATCGATCTGGTATGGTTCTAGGAGTAGTGTGTGGTTTACGAAAAGAATACACGACACTTCGAAAGTGGTTAAAGGCATGAGTTCGTTCAACTTTGATTTGATTTTTGACTCCGACCTGTAGTTATATACCGCAACAGGCCGTGCGATCTTCACCGATCTGGTACATTTGAAATGTTCCTTGTATCTTTGCTTCACGATCGTATATGTTTAAGAATTTATGTTTTTAAAATAAATTATTGCCTGAATATTCTAGTTTCTTTATGTGTTCTACTCTATAACATTTGTTTTGCGGACCACTGACCCGATGCAACGCGAATGAATTTGTTCATTTGCTGATAAGCAACTGAAATTTATACTCAGTTAAGGATAATCTTTATACTCATAGGTTGTGTGTTTTTGTCACCGGTCAGGCGCTATTTGTAGGTATTTCTGGGTTTATATAAGGCGAACTGAGGGAACAATAATAAAATGTTTGTTTACAAACCGCTGTAATTGGACACAGCTGTTGCGGTGTCCCTGCCAACGTTCTTCTGTTTGTTTGTTTCGGTTTTTTTTTTTTTTTGGCGAAGCTAATAAAAAAAATTGTTTGCCGTGTAGTTCCAACGTGTGCTCGTCTGAGCTATGTTATTTTTTTACTCCCAAGTGGGCAATCAAATTGTGCATTTGACTGAATTTCATTTTTTTTTTTTTTCTAAAAGAAAGGGTTTTTTTAAAAGGGGGTGTTTTTGGGCAGTGTTGTTGGGGTGTCCCTTCCAACTTTTTTTTTTTTTTTTTTTTCGGTTTTTTTTTTTTTGGCGAAGCTAATAAAAAAAATTGTTTGCCGATCGGTGCTTTGTTAGCGTAGGTACGACCTCGTAAAAATACACGTTGGTAAATGTTTGTTTCAAAGCAAGACAGGGCTGTAAATCTTATTCTTATCGGCGGTAACATATATCTCAGGAGTAGCAAAGAAAAACCTTGAATTATGGGGATACAAAATCAAACCAAACGCCCGGAAATACTCTCGCGTCGCGAACAATGAATTTGAATTTTGTAAATTTACTTGCGTGCATCTAACTCGCTTCCGATTGGTTTAAAAACAATCAGCTAAGGTCAGAACTCACACATGCGCATCATCGTGAACCAGTCCCTTTAAGTAACGCTCCGCGTAAGAACGATAGCAGTCTTTTTCCAGTTAACTAATTAAAATCCGGCTCTGTGATTGGCTAGAAATCGAAAAAAGCTAGAAAATAATAGTAAAATATTGAGAAATTGCCTTCTAAGGTTCCATATATGGAATTTAGCTATTGTTCTATATGTCACGTAAATTTCAAGAGAATCGCATATGACGGACCACAGCTTTTGACCTTTTCAATGATCATCGGCCATCTTGGATTGTTCTGTCGATCCGAAAACAGTGGTTGTTATTAGTCTTTTTCTTCTTGTAATTATGCATCTTTTTGCTAAAAAAGATAGTACTTTAGTATTTTATGCCTATAATACCTTTTGCGGCTGTATGCCGCCTTCATTTTTATTGTGAGTGAGATTTTAGTGATTCACGTGCGCGGGTGAAGTGTGATCCACAACAAAAGCCAAAGCACACAACAGTCGAGAGAAGAGACATTGCTATATGTAGTGAAAATTCAAGGGACCATTCCTCAGATTCGCGGCGAAGTTGTAACGCCAACACAAGCTACTGAGGCAAGGTCAGTGATTTGGATTACTTAGACATCTCCATTGGCTCTTTTCTTGATCACAGTTCCATTTTCAAGGAGAAACGTCGTCTGTCGACTGGAATGTTGGACATTTTCTGCAAAACGATTTTGGCTTTACATAGAAATATCCACAACGGCGATTTTCAGGGCAGTACGGCGTTGCAACATTGTCGCGAGAATTTTCGAATTACGGCATGTTTAAATGACTCATTAAAGTTTTCTTTTATGAATTTTGAAATTATTATTTTTATTTTTTCATTTGTTTGGTTGACTGTTCAGAGTCCACGACTACTGCTTACTTTGGTCTGCACGCGTGTACTACTCCCTCACAGATTCTATTAGTTCATAGACGGTAACTCATTGACTTGAATTTCTTTCCTTCTTCTTCTTCTATCTGAAATACATTTACGTTCAGGGAAAAAAATCATTTGAAATAAAATCATAGAAGAAATCATAAAAAATGTTACGGAATTTGGTGACGTGCTCACGCGAGTGTAGAACAAAAATAACACAGAGTTACATAACTTGACCGGATATTACATGTAAACCTGTCAAAATTATGACAAAAGGAAGTTTAGTGTTAGAATCCTCCACAGTGTAATCTGAGGCAGACCATTACCTAATTTGGAATTGTTCGTGCACAGGCATCCCAAGCTCACCTTACGAGTGTGTTAGTTAAGTAAATGTACATGCACGTAACACACTCGTAACGTGAGCTTGGGACTGACCTGTGGTTCGTGTTGCAAGGCGTTGGAAATTTTTATTAGTTCTTAAATCCAATATCCGTAGATTACACTGTGTTGTAACCCAAACTTTAACAGAGTGAATCATTCTTATCTTTGCTGTTGTTTGTGTCACATTTAGAGGTTATTTCCTGTGCTCTTTGTTATTGTTTTGTCCGTGAATGTGATGATTTCCTGCTCTGCTTTGTCACGTTTTCTTGTAGGATGTTGAATTCTCACGCGTAGCGATCTGCATACATATCCGAATTTACACGGTATAAAAAGGGGTCTGTAGGCCTAAACGACTTTTACCTCATGATGTAAAATGTCGCTTGTTCCGATTATTTTCTTCCTAGCGGGTAGATTATGGGTTAGAGTAATTATTTCTTGTCCTTTTTGTTTCTGACAGGATTTATCTCTGATGCGATGTAGTTTAAGCATTTTCTTTGGCTTTGGTTCGAGGATCACGACGTTTACATGATGAATTGTACACTCCTCCAGAGTGCAAGAGTATATGCTGAATGAATAAATAAATAAATAAATATATATATATATTTTTCCGTGCCGCAGTGATTTCGTATTACTTAATTTTGTTCCGATCGATATCCGAAGTACAAGTGGCCGCAATCAAAAATTTGTTTTACTTCTACTCATCTCCACTAGCAATTGGCCAAATTTACTTCGTCTTGAGTTTGATCTCAAGCAATCACAACGCACGATGCCTGTATCCAGAAATGGATATCTTCCGGATTGCTTGAGGGGACCTTAAGCCAGTTTTGAAACGAGCAATGAAAAAAAAAAACTTCTGAAGGACGTAGCGGGGGAGTGCCATTGTTTTTAATAGCTTCTTAAAAAATTATGTATTTGTACCATTATTGATAAGCTCAGTATGACACAATAGTGGGAAGAAGACCCATATTTCCAATTTCAAGTGGTTTACAATTCAGTAGTGTAAAAATGGAAATAAAAAGTTAATTAATGTCCTTTCGGGGTACGACCATCAAGACTGGCTCCCATTAATAACATTATGGATTATTTCATTCTGCTTACATCAAACATTATTGTTGACATTATTATCACTATCGTTATTCGTAAAACCAAATCATTTTAATTTCAAATTTTTTTAAAACGTCAAGCTCACATTCATCATTTTTGCGCGGGAGTCACATAAAATTTGGTAATCTGTCCATCCTAGAAATTTTGGTAATCACGTTCCAAACCTAACTGATGTGGTCCGCTATCGGCAATTTCCTCAGTGAGCCACTGGCATTTCTTTTGTTAATATTCCAGAAATACTATCATCTGTAACTTTCTTGTTATCTTTTATTTAATTACTGCCTTAAAATATCTCAGCACTAGCGGTGCCTGCGCAGTTGTCCTGTTCGTAAATGGTCGCTGCCATTTTTAAGACACTTAGAAAATTATTGACATGTTATTGAGAGGGTTTCTGCTAAAAATAAAGAAATTCTTAACCCACGGTTGAACCCTAGACGGGGGGTGTAACTTGGAATTATTTTTCCTGGGTATGTGCCGCTGGCCTCGGAGCCCTTACCCACTATAGTCTAATCGTGGCCAATTATACACCCCATCTTAGTCACTTCTGGGCAAATATGTAATTTTCGCGATCCCAACTTAATCACTTTCTATGTATCTACCTTATATTGAATGAAGAACACTTTACTTTTCACCTATAGTACAAGCATTCTGGTACGTTTACTAACCGTAAATATGAAGAACTGTCTTAACCCAAAAATCAGAAAATGTGCGACCCCATTGTAGCAGAACTATTGAAAATGCTACCCCATTATAGTCAATCTAGTCGTGAAAATGCGCGCGATCCCATCCAGTGGCACATCCCTAATAGCCTCTTATAAGGAATTATCACACCGAGGACACGATCTAACCCGGATCTTTCATATCCTAATCTCTCTCCGTTACCACAGCACTACCATGCCGATCCGCCAAAATCCGAAAAATTTAAGTACTTAAACTACTATAGCAAACTTTCTTTCTTAACTATTACCGTCAATAACAGGTGATCCTAACCCTTTCCATTACTTTTAACGTAAATTCAACTTTGCTTCAAGATCGTTTATTGTAAGACCATTCAAAAATGATTCCTTTTTCGCAATACTATTAAGATCGGCTTTAGTTATTTAAAAAGGAATGATTTGTATTCAGTTGCATTTTATTTCTTTCCTTCTAATAAGACAATTAAAAAATATCTACCTGACGAGGGGTCCAAGAACAGTCCTTTTGCCTTTGCAAGCCCATCCTGAGTGTTGGTACTCATTCCTACGTAACGAACTTGCATTATGCGATTCGCCGCCAAAGTGTATGGCAAAAACTGGAAGTCAACTACTGCAGAGGAGGAATAGGAAACTGCAGCGTACTTGGTATCAACTGTCGGGTTTTCCTTTGCCAATTTCATCATGTGTTTAAGAGCTTTCTTTCCTTTTCCAAATTCACAGCTGCCAATCGACCCGGAACCATCCAGAACAACCACAATATCTTCATAAGAAGAAATTTGTCTTTTGCGGCGCACATGTGAAAGTTTCCCAGGGATGCGCAAAAAGTTAGTCAGGAGCTTAGTTGCAGTTTGGCTTGCGGGAGGAACCGTTTGAAACTCTGCGAATAAAATTTTAAAATTATAATGATTTTTGTGCATTACTAGTAGTATAGAATGTGATAGTTCAGTTACACTTGGCTAAGCCTTCATTTCAGTATTTACACCTTAGTCGCCCTTTCTGCAATGAATTTCGAAAGCAAAAGTACTTTTAACCCTCGGACGTACATGCAAATTCATACCCCCACCGTGGTATAAGGGGGAATTAAATAATGGAACCCCTTCCCAGAGTTTTTGATATGTTGCAGCGTTTCGAAACGATTTTGCCTTTAGAGGAAAGCCTTTGATCTTCTCAACAAAATGGGGTATATTTTATGGGTGGTGGCGTTGCTGAAGGCCAGTGACGTCACCAGTAATGATAGCCATCTTGGATTTTACCAAGAATTAGAAATCAGGTTAAAATCCAGATAAATGGTAAATTTTTTGTCGATATGTAAAATATATATAGCACATAAAGAAGTACTTTGTATCATTGCATCCTCGAGTTTTACTTTTATTGTTGAAAAAAGTTGAAAAAATGTATTTTCAACCAAAATTTTTTTGACCACCTGCTACTAATGACGTCATATCTCGTAACCATAGAAACAGACCATCACTGAACTTGCCTCAAAATGCGCGAGAGGGATAAAAGAGTAGCTACTGAAAACATCAGGTGTTGATGTTTTATTGTCTAGTAAAAAAATCGAAAAAACCTTCGAGGGTTAAGAGCAAATGCCTGGATGCGATCTGGTGCATTTCATTCGAGGCTACATAATCATAAACTTACTCGTCGACGAGAGTTCTTTAAATGCGATGAAACAGCTTGATCAACTTTATACATGGCGCGCTGGCTGAGGTTCTAAGGGAAAGGCCCTAAAGAAAATATGATCGCTTTCAAGGTAGTTTGTCCCCATGTGGCGTCGTGGTAACGAAACGGTCTTGTCCACGGTCATGCTCTATCGTTTTCGCAGTTTTTGGAGGGAGGTGGTCGCATTTTGAAATTGACTCCAGCTGATACCAACTTTTTTTGTTTCAAAAGTATAATTTTCTTATTTATGCATGATAGTTGTTAAAATTGCAGCCTCGCAATGAAACTTATTTTTCTTATTGTTTCTGTAGGTTATGATGAAGCATTGCACAACATCTAATCACAGCACTTAGCTTACAATTTGAAACATCTAGTAGTCTTGTCTATATGAAGCTTATTAAAAAGTTAACAGATTTTCGTTATTGATATTTAGGAACATTTGTAAGAAAATTTCCAGGCTGAAACTGCCCAGAAAATAAGAAAGGTTCAGGCTCAACTCGAAAACTCAGGGGCACCCAACGAGGATATAGTTCAAAACCACTTAACATAGCATTGTTGAACGTATTTTAGTATTTAAACGGTAGAGATGGGCATATTTTCATCCCCTAAAAATTTTTCATCTGTTCGGATTTCCTAGCTGAAAGTCTAGTGATCCGAAAATTATAGGGATCAAAACTTACCTCTTCGAAAATTTCAGCCAGGAAAAGGCTCCCGAAAATTCTAGGTGGCCTTTTTTAGGGTAAATATCCGTTTTTTTACCCATTAATATGGTAAAACATCTACAAGCTTTTAGGATCCTCTCCGTCCGTTCGTAGAAATTTTACAACAAATGTTCCGAAAATTCTAGTTCTCAAATCGTCTTCCGAACAGATATTTTCCCGAATATTGCCATTGGGTGCCCCTGAAAACTGGGTGAAAAGGCTCTAACAGATTATCGCTTGGTCGTTGATCGAGAGCTAATGACAAAATGATCTCTGTCTATATCTAGCCTGTCCCCGTTCGTCCCCGGCTCCAAAATAGTAATGTCCAGAGATCATGAACATGAACTGATGCGAAGAAAAAAATTCACTTGGATTGTTTTAGCCTGACACAGTCTATCGCGCGCCGTCGATCTTTCCCGAAAACAAACTTTGCGCTGAATGGAGTTAACAACTATAAAAAATTGCATTGAAGAGTTAAAAGAATTAACTTTCAAATATAAGTTGATCTGTAGATTGTCATTCACATAAAGGGTATGAAAATAGCTGGCGACAAGAAAGGTTTCTACTGAGAGTCACCGAGTACGTCAGCTGGAACGTAGCTAATCAAGTACACAACTCCCAAAATTTGACTCCCCATACCTATAGTCAACTTAAAAGAAAAACTTACTCTGGTAATAAGGATCGTTAGAATTCGGTGGTAAAGTGCTCACGACGGCAGGTCGCCAAAAGTTTGCTGAACATTTCCCACTGAGGAAAACAAGCAGGCACACCACTGCGGCAATTCGAAGGATAAATCTTGACATGTTTGAACTGGATTGCGATCTCTCAACGCTTCATGAACTCGCCAAAGAAAGCTGCTGTGCTTTTATAGAGAAAGCAACTTCCGTGGTGGTGTTTCATTACGTTAACAGATTGTTTACTTGCCGCAGTTAAACGTGCTTCAGTTCGAAGGGAACTAGACTACGAGCAGCCTTTCTTTTTTCTTAGTCCGTCGAGCAAAACGCGTGAGACGCGCAAATGACCACGCACGTGAATGAAGGCGCGAGACGGGAGAGGCACGAAAAAAGAGAGACTAACCGCAAAGCCCAGAGAAAATGGTTTTTCTCAGTCTAGTGATTTTTTGGCGTGAACACTGACGTGTTGACAGGCCAAGCGCGTGAAACGTGACCTTGAGTTTGTTTGAACAACAGAGGTTTTACTTCTTTTCTTTGTAACCCGGGGGGGTACTGCCATATATGGGCTATATAGGTATGTACACATGTGCCGCTGTGAAGGGTATGGTTTTCCAGCATTTTACTCTAGGATAGGGTATATAAATCAGAGCGTTTGGGTCTAGAACAGGGTATCATTTTTCAGGAAACTGATCAGTTGGTTGAAGATTTTTGTAGACTAGGGATTGTGGTGTAAGGATTTGTTTTGGCTAGACTGTGCTAGTGACTTCAGTAGTTTCTGGAAAAGAGCTACTCTAGTATAGGAGGGATTTGGGGAGTTTACTCTAGTATAGGGTAACAAAATTCAGCTGAGCTAGCTCTGGTATAGGTTAAGGGTTCCAGGGTCCTAGCGGCCCAACCCCCCCCAAAAATTCCTAAAATACCCCCCCCCCCCCACCCCCCGGGCTTTGTAATAGGTAATCAAGTGCATAGAGTCGATTCTAAACTGACTGAGCCAATCTTAATTATGGCCACTTGTCTCACACTTACGGGTCATGAAGCTNAACTCGCCAAAGAAAGCTGCTGTGCTTTTATAGAGAAAGCAACTTCCGTGGTGGTGTTTCATTACGTTAACAGATTGTTTACTTGCCGCAGTTAAACGTGCTTCAGTTCGAAGGGAACTAGACTACGAGCAGCCTTTCTTTTTTCTTAGTCCGTCGAGCAAAACGCGTGAGACGCGCAAATGACCACGCACGTGAATGAAGGCGCGAGACGGGAGAGGCACGAAAAAAGAGAGACTAACCGCAAAGCCCAGAGAAAATGGTTTTTCTCAGTCTAGTGATTTTTTGGCGTGAACACTGACGTGTTGACAGGCCAAGCGCGTGAAACGTGACCTTGAGTTTGTTTGAACAACAGAGGTTTTACTTCTTTTCTTTGTAACCCGGGGGGGTACTGCCATATATGGGCTATATAGGTATGTACACATGTGCCGCTGTGAAGGGTATGGTTTTCCAGCATTTTACTCTAGGATAGGGTATATAAATCAGAGCGTTTGGGTCTAGAACAGGGTATCATTTTTCAGGAAACTGATCAGTTGGTTGAAGATTTTTGTAGACTAGGGATTGTGGTGTAAGGATTTGTTTTGGCTAGACTGTGCTAGTGACTTCAGTAGTTTCTGGAAAAGAGCTACTCTAGTATAGGAGGGATTTGGGGAGTTTACTCTAGTATAGGGTAACAAAATTCAGCTGAGCTAGCTCTGGTATAGGTTAAGGGTTCCAGGGTCCTAGCGGCACATCCTCACGCAGAAATTCCTAAAGTACCCCCCCCCCCACCCCCCGGGCTTTGTAATAGGTAATCAAGTGCATAGAGTCGATTCTAAACTGACTGAGCCAATCTTAATTATGGCCACTTGTCTCACACTTACGGGTCATGAAGCTGGTCTATTTCTCGCATATCGATATCTTTTTTCTTCTCGGGCTGCCGCCCTCGTCTCGCGCGTCTCGCGGCTTCGCCGCCGCGTGCACTGCTCTCACCAAATCTGAAGGAAAATAGAGACTGCTCGCACTCTAAAGGGAACGGCTAGGATACTGAACAAACAGGGTCAATATAGCCATGTTCATATGCTTACAGTGTTAAATTTCAGCACTGCCTAACAATACGGTCACAGCTTTGATCAATATGCTAGTGCTGATGGCTTAGCCTCAGCCGCCTAGAGACTCTTAAGTTAAATGAAGTTAACCTTCCAAAACTACTCAGCCTTCTTCCAAAGCGGTGAGGCAGATTTTATTGCTACACATCCCTGGTCATTTTTATTAGCTCTTCGTAATTGACTTAATGAAGGAGTCGTTCTTGATGTTGCGCAGGAAACAATTTGAGCTGTTTACGTGTTTTGTTATTGACCTCTGGTTTAATACGTGCTTTCAGTGCTGATCTTACAGCATATAGTGCAGTTCACAGTTCCAAATTTTTCAGTTTTGTTTTTTAAATCGCACCAATAATCACGAAAACTTAGAAGACTGCTGATAATAACTACCTAGAATAAGACGAAAGCACAAGACCGCGGTAAAAAATTGCATGAAAACAAGAAAACAATCATAAGTAAGAGGCTGAGCAGCTCAACAGTATATTTCAAGCCTTCAGCATCAAAGGCATACTTGAGGGCTTGCGTGCAAAGGTTGTAAAAGGATACTCACGGAGGGTTAGCATATTTTCACATTTTAGCTCTCGGCCACGTTGTCTCTGTTGTAACACTGAATTCCATTTTAAGTTTTTGGCCAACAAACTATTAATTATCTTATCATACACAAATGCTAAAGAAAACGATGCCGCGCACTACAACGTTTTTCGAATAGATAGACCATTTATTACTTTTGGGTGCTAGAGGGATTTCTTTTCTTATCTAATTCCTAGTTACGGTGAAGTCGCCAGTGCGGACATGATCATTAATCGTGTTTCCTTCAAACGGTTACAGAGCCCAGTTACATTATGTATACCCATGTGTGCACACCTATTTTGTCGTATAAACAGAAGATTGACCCCCATAAATCAACACACGGCGGGTATTTCTAGATTTTGTTGTTGTCGCTGTGATATCAAACAATTTTTTTTAAGACGAGTTCAACAACGAAACACAACTCATCCACGGCGTCCCCAAATTTTCGACTACGGTATCTAGAGGAGAGAGAAACCTTCATTTATATTAGATTTTAATTAGGACCCTGCCGAATTCTTGCTTGTATTTTATGTGCGAGTTCCCTTTCCCTCGCACGAATACTTGAAGCGGCTGATCAAGTATGCGTCCGATATAAGATGACACGACTTTTTAAAAAAATATGTTAGTAGACAAACAACAAATGATGCCGGCTGCTTAGTATGGCAAGAAAACGGAGAGGAAAACAAAAACCGAAAGAAAAATGGAAAAATGTATTTGCCCGACATTTTGGTGTGCAAGCAAACCTTTCAGTATATTTTCTTGTTTGCCTCGCTTGCCGTAAGGATCAGTTTACTGCTTTATTACATTTAACAGCGGTCATCATCTACAAGAGTTTTATTACTGATCCAGGTCCACACAAGCAAGATTCGGAACTCCTCGCTAGGTTGCTGCCGTGATTTCGCTTTATTAGTATTCGGTAGACATCGACTGGAAAGGTCAGCCCATCTTTGTTTTAAACTTGTATTCCTTTTGTATTTCTCTTCATGGCGAACTAGTAGAGAGTGTCATTGCAATTGTTTTTAGCTTCAGTCTCAGCCAAAAAGGAACTTCCAAAGTTGCAATCCAAGGGGTTGAAAATGTCTCGTGACGATGCGCTAGTTTTAACCTCTTAAAAGCCAACAAAAAGTAAAAGTTTTAGACTAAAAAACTTTCAGTTTTTTTTTCAAAGAAAACGGTGTTTAATGCAGACGTGAGTAAAAATGAAATTGACTGGTAAACGTTTAATTTGTGACGTATAGGTGGCACTAGAAATCCACAAAATCATTAAACAGCGAAAAAAAAAAACAGCACTTAGCAAAACAGGAACATTAACTTATCAGTTTTTAATGTTGGTTTTTAAAGCACGTATTCCTCTTATTCTTCTGTGCGAACATAACAGGATGTGTGGCTGGTCTGGATCAGAATAACTCTGGCGTCTTCTTTCTTTGACTTCTGCTTAAATTTCGTTATTGATTTATTTATTTATGTCTTTCTTTTTTATCTTATCTTTTTTTTCTAGAGTGAGGTAGAGACCCAAGAAACATCGAATTCTATCTGAAGACCATCAATCTTCTAAATTGAGGTGGACAAATGTTACAGCATTCAAGAAGACAAAAATCTTTTTGCAAAATGTTTATTCCTAGTTAAGAGCTGAATACAAAATTTTGAAAGCGTGTGTTCAGTCCGTATGTATATGTTGTGGTCCAATTTTGTCCTTGGTTTAAATTTTATTTCCCTTTGTTTTGGGATATGGTAATGTATGATAATGAGTTTGAAACAAAGAAAAATAGAATTTAAACCAAGGATAAAATTGAACCACAATCGTTATAGCCTGCGCAAACATCCGTTTCTCCTCGCTCTTCGCCGCCGGCGACGTTTCGTTCAAAAGAACTTACGACATTTTAAACAGATAGAGTTAATGCGGCTATTTTATGAAATCTTCTAACTACCAGAAGTCCATCTCAAGCTACAAAGAACCTAGACGTTTCGTCCCCAGCGGCGAAGAGCGAGGAGAAACGGATGTTTTCGCAGGCTATAACAGTTACAAGAAAAAAGAAGTGGGGTTAAAAGGGCAGAAGGAAACGTGCCATGAATACGGGAAGTTGATAATAGGGAAGTGTAAATTATTCCGGACCTTTTTTCGTTATAACATCTAAAATTTCGATTTTGGTGATTGAGCTGAAATAAAAGCAAAATATAGTACGCTGTTGTACTTGCAATGCAAATTATCAAATTATTAAAAGAGTATATCATTCAGGCTGCGTTAGCTAATGTCCTCCTGGGCCCTGATTCCTGAATGTTCAAAAGGTGGATAACGCTATCTACTGGATAAATCTCTATCCAGTGGATCACGCAATTGTTTTCCCTAATACTTATCCGCTGGATAGTGGCTTATTAAGGATAACGCTTCTTAATGTTTGAACAACAGGGGCCTGGATAAACAGATTTAATGTATAATGTA